TTTAAAAATAATAATAATGGACATATGCTTGGCTTTCTCCAGACCCCAAAATAAGAAAACAAGACTATCTATCTATTTATTTATTTGGCTATATAAAATGAATCTGAGAAATCACATAATTTCACTCATAAATACTATGTATGTATAACAGATAGACTATTTTTGTTGTTATTAATCCTCACCTGAGAATATTTTTCCATTGATTTTTAGATGGAGTGGAAGAGAAGGAGGAAGAGAGAAAGAAAGTAACATCAATGTGAGAGAGACACATCAATTGGTTGCCTCCTGCATGACCCTGGGCCAGGGATCGAACCTGCAACCCAGGTACATGCCCTTGACCAGGAATAGAATCTGAGACCCTTCAGTCTGCAGGCTGATGCTCTAACCACTTAGCCAAACCAGTCAGTGCTAGATAAGGACTTTTTAACATTATAACCACAGATATCACCACAATTAAAATTAACAATGAACAATTTCTTAATATTAACTTTTCCAATATCTACTTTGTTTCAATTGTCTGAAAAATGTCCTTTCCAATTGGGCCCCAAATGGAAGATTTCAAATTATCTACACTTTGCAGTTGATAGACCCTTAAATAAAATACAATAATTTTAATTTCTGTAATCTCTCTTTGAATCCAAATTTAGGAGACTTTAAACATGCAGAGTACTATAAGATTCCCTTTGCAAAAACTCGACTGCTTTCACAAAACTGGCAGGTTAAAATAAATGTTTGTTGGAAATACATAGAGAGATGGGGAGGGAAAAAAACTGGAGTTGAAAAGAAGGAAAGAAGATACTTTTGTGAATGAACCTTCGTATAGATCAAGGGAAATGAAGCCAAAGAGACCTGGCTCTTTAAAGGTCTTCCTGAGTTTGCTGGAGGAGGGACTGAATGTAGGTGGAAACTGAGGGTTGTTGAAATGATCAGACTTTTCTATTATGTTATAATTTTTTTTTTTTTTAATGCAAATAGTAGCTTAGAGAATTGAGCGAATGAGTTGAGAGATGCTTTGGTTGCTAATTATAGTTTTCCTTTTACTAAATTAAAACAAACATTATACAATGCCTTTGTGAAGCTAGCGAATGGAAAGTATTGATTAGCAAGATTCGATTTTATTGGAGAAAGAAAAAGCTTGAAGTTTAGTCATCAAAAACAAAATAAACTAATTTAGTTAATACAACAGAAACTGAAGCAGTCAGCAAACCTTGTCAAAAACAGACAAAATAAAAAGGAGTAAAACTAAGAAGAAAATGCATTATTGGAGAATGAAAATCAGGGACCTACAAACACAGTGGTCGCTTAATCTCACCAAGTTAATGTTCCAGTAATGGCTGTTCTGAGCGTGTGCCAGTTCCGTTACCTTCTCAACGAAGTCCTCTCCTTGTGCTAATAAAATTATGGTAAAAGTGTGTTTAAAAAGTAAACAATTCTCTTGTAAAGCATTAAATAGTTTACTCTGATCCCAAACATGTATATTCTCCTTTAAAAAAAAATCCTTACATCTGCAGAAAGACCTTAGCACCCCAGTAATGTTTTGTTATCCCTAAGAGATTGATATGCCATTCATTCTGACCTATTTTGTTGACTATCACAGGTGACAAGTATTTCACACGATATCAGGTAAGATACACTTGTCCACTGATTGTTTAAAATTAATCCCTAGACTTTCTTATTTTGTGTCTCTCAATATTCTTCAATGAAAAATAAGAACTCCCATGTTTCTAAATCTGGAAGGCAATTAATCAGTGATACCTAACACTCTGACATTATACATTTATCCAAATTTAGATGCACAAGGGAAAATTATCTGAATTGACACGTGACACCAGTTTTCATATGTGATGGGAAAAATAAAATCTGACTACTTATTAAATATAGAGAGACATAATCAAATTAATTGCTAGAGAAAGGGAATTCTCTTAATTTGTTTATTGCATCCTTTAATCCAATTTTCTAAAGAGAAAACCCTCCTTCAATAAACAAGATAATAAAGCTAAGAAACCTGTATTCATTGATTATTTCAACCTGCAGTCATTGATAATTTCAGTGCTTCCAAGCAACACCACTTTTCAACTTATTCATATAAAAATCTGACATCTTGATTGATATACATTATTTGCATCACGAGTCAGACAGTTGGTGTAGACTGGCATACATTTTAGAAGAAAAAAAACTATTTTTTAAATGCACACATATAAATAAATTTGGTTTATCACCAACTATTCCATGTTATAAACAAATATTACTTTTATTTAGTAAAATAACAACAACAACAACAAAAACTGTACTATTTCCCAGAATCCAGTATTAAATTTAAAAATAAACAAACCTGGCTGGCCTGTGTGGCTCAGTGGTTGAGCATCAACCCATGTACCATGAGGCCACTGGTTTGATTCCCGGTCAGGGCACATGCCTAGGTTGTGGCCAAATCCCCAGGAGGCGACCAGTCAGTATTCTCTCTCATGTATGTTTTAATCTCTCTGTCCCTCTCCCTTCCTCTCTTTCTAAAAATCAATAAAGAAGAAAAAATTTTATTTAAATAAAAAAATCTGTATAGATTTATTTTGTTTAAAGTAACACAGAAAAATGAATTTAAAAGTAAAAGATTCATTTGGAATGTGTATTCTATTTTCTCTGTTCTTATTTTTAAAATATTATTTTCTATCAAAAGTGGGGTCTCATAACCAACCCATGTCCATTGTCTCTTACACAATCCTGAAAGTAGTTCACAGTTTGCCTTAAATATAATATTCTGGTTGAATTTCATTTCCACACGAACGCTTTTCAGTTCTATCCCAGTTCTATTTTATTTCCATTAAAGATACTTAATTTTAAAGTTGTCTTTTGTAAAAGCTATGCTCCTATCACAAAGGGAAAAAAAAATGGAACTACAAAACTGAAAATTAAATAGGAAGTTGTGGTCAGGTAAAAAAGAAATAGGGGGTCAATGCTGTAGGGGTCACATACCAAGTGAGCATTTTAACTACAAATTATGCCGCCTGTACAGAGCCTGAAACTCACGGGTCTTGTCCTCAGCAGGGGGAGTATATTTCAAACCTACTAGACTCTCTGATGACAGGCATCTTTCCTGGTGCTCAGCTTCATTGGGAGCAATAGGAGCTAAAGTCCTAGATTCTTCCTTGCAAATTTCCACCTCATGATTAATCTATTATTCTAGAGTCTGTCAAAAATCTGCTATCAATAGTACTCCAGCTTCATGGTTTCAACCATTAAATCAAATCTAGTTAATGGGCTAGAATCACAGACAGGCTTTCATGCCCTCTGCTGGATGTTCAAAGGAAAAGCTACACCTTTAGCAGTGAGAAAAATTCACTTGAAAAAAATGAATGCTCTTTAACATGGGAAGAAAAACATCTAGTCCTGTCAGAATGAAAATCCGAGACACCAGGTTAAATAGAATGTCAACGATTTATTGATGAACAAAGATGTAGGCAAAGATTTACCGAGATGAGATGACAGAATTATTTTTTTAAATGTCATAACTATCCTATATTCCAAATTGGTTCTATTATTATATTGTTTGCAGTAGTTTTCAGTGGACCATAAAGAGCACCTGCTACAGAACTTCCAAGTCTCTGCCTGGAGGTCAGAGCCAAGTGGTGGAAACTGTATTATCATTAAAAATAATACTAAATATGTTGGAGAAATAAACTCAGACCTTGTACAATAATTAACAACATACAATAATCATTCAATAAGTATTTCTTAGGCAATAAATGAAAATATAACCTGTGATATTTGATAAGAGATGTCTGTCAGAAAAGTTTCCATGAAAACAAACTCTTTTTGCTATCCCCATGCTTCCTCCCTGACTCGGATAAATAAACCAAGCAGCCAGAGGCCAAGCATGTGCTTTACACATTTCTAGGTGTTCCTCCAAACCACTCACTGTTCTGTAACTGCAACAGATTTTAACATACATAACTTATAGGATACGAGCAAAAATTCAGAAACATGAATAACAAATAAAATCGCCTGTAGCTCCACCCCTTAAACACATTTATGTTTAACATTTTATTTTTCCGCATAGCATGCTTTCCTGTTTGTTTGCAGTTGCAAGCTACCACTTTGCCAACATGTATTTGTTTAACTTTATATTTCTTTAATTAAAGCAATGCATGTATTTATTTCTAAAAGTAAATTGTACTATGAACCTATTATTTAAAAAAAACAAACACACAAAGCATTTTTTTGCTCTATCTAATCCTACATAACATTTTCTCTAAATCTGATTACTTGAGGCAATTATTTTCAACTCTTGAGCGTTTAGCTTCAGATATTAGTGACCTAATTTCCGAATGATGTACTTTACCATTATTTCTTGATTTTTCTTTTTCTTTTGGGTATAATTAACTGATTTCCCACAATATGAGATTAGGATTTAGCTTTTTAAAAATATATCCTGCTTCCTTTCTTCACACACTCCCTCTCAGCCTAGCTTGGCAATAGGAATAACACCTATTTAAAGCTCAATATTAATTATTTGCATTAGTCATAGTATAACCATTTTTGAGGATTTAATTCAACTTTTCGTTTTTCTCTTTCTGATTTTGGCTCTGGATATATCTGAATCTCTGAGTCATTGTTAAACTATGATAATTTTTATTGACTTCATACTAGGGGAGCGGTGAGATTAAAATGGAGATATTGAGGCAGCGAAAGCTGTAATGCGTACTAGAGTGGAATCCTAAACTTACTTGAGACCACTCTGCGCATTAGTCACTGTCTGTGAGTATTAATGGAGAAACATTAATTTAGTTGTATAGCAGAAAAATGAAACACAGCAGTGATACATTGAGTCCACTAATTTACTACTGAAATGTCTTCCTGACCAAAATTTTCCCTACATTCATTCTGTTGTCTATCTGTCCTTTTTCAGGCTATATTAATTGATCTCACTAAATGAGAAAATTGTTCCTACATTTGATGTCTTGGACTTAAAAATATTTCTAACATTTTCAATTGATGATCCAGATCTAAACGTGGCTTGCTTTCACAAGTTCTTCATATGGAGGAGGAGGGCCTAAAGTGTTGAAACATGGAACAGGACACAGTTCAGGGTGTTGAGTTTGAAGGTGAATTCCAACAGTTGGAGTTACAGCTGCTTCTGCCCCTGGAAAGAGACAGATGGGAATTTGTAATCTTTCTACTCAGCTTAAAACAGATGTACATGAAGTGCCAAGTAAAATAGGACATTTCTTGAGTCACTGGAGCAACAGAAAATTATTTGTATACTTGGGGAAAAAAATGTGCAATCATCTTAGTCACTACAGCAAGAACATTTGCTCTCAGGAGCTGATTACAGTAGTTGCCCCTTATTGGTGGTTTTGCTTTCAGCAGTTTCAATTGTGCAAAGTCAACCATAGTCCAAAAATATTAAATGAAAAATTTCAGAAACAAAGTATTCATAAATTTTAAATTGCATGCTGTTCTGAGTACTGTTTTGAAATCTTGAGCTGTCTTGCTCAGTCCCACCCGGGATGTAAATCATCCCTTTGTCCAGCGTATTCACATGGTACACGCTACCTGCCCGTTGGCCACTTGGTAGCCATTTTGGTTACTGGACTGACTGTCAAGACATTTCATTGCTTCTGTTCAAGTAACTCCTGTTTTACTTATTAATGTTTCCAAAGCCATTCACATAACTTTTATTAGAGTATATTGTTATAATCATTCTATTTTATTGTAATTATTGGTAATCTCTTACAGTGTCTTATTTATAAATTAAACTTTACCATAGCTATATATGCAAAAGGAAAAAAATATGTATATAGTGTATATACTTGGTACTATCCACAGCTTTCAACCTTCACTGGGGGTCTTAAAAAGTATCCCTTGCAGATAAGAGGGGACTACTGTATATCATCATTGACTAACACATCAAGAAGCATTTACAATTTAGCAGCTGAAACTAGAAGAAATGCCATTTTTGTTAGATCAGAAACCAAGATTCCTGTACATAATAATGGAACTTTAGCTAATGCTCCCATCATGGGAAATGCAAATCTCACTAGAAACATTAAAACATTACATCTGACTTTCATTATTTTATATTTACGCTCTGAAAACTGCAACTAATGCAATTAATTACTTTAAAAAAATCTTTATGATGAATAATAAAAATGTTAAGTTTTGAAAAGTTTGCAACTAAAGTATATACACACAAAAAAGTAAGGCACTCTTAAATTTTGAAATCAAAGTTCTTAATTTTTAGATTATGTATTCTGCAAGCCATTAAATATCCAAAACAAGCATTTTCCTCCTCAAACTGATTGCCTCAAGAGACCATGCACTAACTCCAATAGCTCTTTTGGAAATCTTCTATTAGTATTTTCCTGAAAAACCATTTTGGAGTCACAGGAAATCAACAGTAATATTTTATAACCATTTCTTTCTTTATATTCTTTCCTTTTTTTTTTTTCCCAAATGGCTCTTTACCTGTCTGGGAATGATTTAATTCCTTCCTCCCAAGACAATACTAACAACCAGAAATTTATCTTTAAAGAAGAAACTAGGCTTTTAACCTAAACAGTCAAATTCTCTGACTGCTTTTGTATATTAAATTTAATTATGATATAGCCATGCCCATTCCTTTATACATGCCCTCTGCCTGTTTTCTGCATTATAGTGACAGAGGTAAGTCCTTCCACAGAGACTATGGCCTGCAAAGCAAACATATTTCCTATCTGGCCCTCAATAGAAAGAGTTTGCTGACCTCTTCCTTAAAGGATTAACTGTTGATACTGTTGAGGAGGTCCCTTTTACCATGCCACAATTATCAACACAATTTAGCATAGTTGTATGTATTAAGCAATAGCTGCATTACAGGAATCTAGATGTAGATTGCTCAAAATTATTACTTTGGAGACAATACATTTATTCAGATCATGGATTTTTATATATTTATATTTGTTTTATTTTGCATCTCACTAGTTTGCAGAGCAAAGCATAGTAACTCAAATATTAACATAATACGTAAAGGGTCGAGTTATATTTAGAGTATGTCTTACCTCTTGGTTCAGCACTTTTTTGAAGAAATTATTTATTTAAGAATTATCTGCTTCTAAGCTACTACATAATCCTTCTGTTCTGTAGTTTTCTTTCATGTGGTAAATGAATAATGATGATATCTACATCTATAAAAGCAAGGCTAAATGAATGTAAAGTGCTTGAAACAAAGCCTGGCACATAGTAATTCCTCATGAAGAGTTCACTATAATTACTATTACTATAAATATTAGTATTATTAGTTCATATCAAGAACCATACTATGCTAGAAATATGCATATTTTTTTTATTCACAATATTATTTTTTAATTTATCCTGTCTCAATGGTCAAATAATATTTTAATCATTATCACTATTAAGGTTATAACAGAAATTATTAAGTGAAAAATTTGTGGCATTAGAGTCTTTTTCAGTTAAGAAGTTTAGGATGTTAGCCCAGCCAGTGTGGCTCAGTGCTTGAGTGTCCACTCATGGACAAAGAGGTCACCTGCTGGATTCCTGGTCAGGGCACCTGCCCAGGTTGGGGGCTGGATCCCTGGTGGGGAGCATGCAGGAGCCAATCCGTGTGTCTCTCATCGATGTTTTTATCTTTATCTCCCTCTCCCTTCCTCTCTCTCTAAAAAGTCAATAAAACATTTTTTCTGTCTTTTTTTTTTTTTTTTAAAGAAGAAGTTTAGGATGTCATCTAAGTCTGAGGGACTTGATAAAACCGAGTTAACGGTGATGAAGTGTCTTGCCCCAGCACTTCCCTCCGTTGTGGATACTGGTACTGAGCACCACCCACTCTCCAGGCAAACTGCTCGGAGTGTCCAGCACAGAGTCAAGGGCAATCTAACTATCATTCTGCCGGGAGTCCTCACCCGGACTGACTTGACACACTTATTAGCTCAAATGTGTTTCCGTCACTGCCATTATCAATATGGTGCTCCAGGCAACAGGATATCGACAGTTGCCCTCTCTGATAGGAAAGTTTTATTGTTACCTCCTTATAACAGATTTGGCTGTTGTTCTTCCGCTTGCTGTGAAAACCACGAGGCATTCATTTGATGAACCTAACTAAGGCAATGTGTTCGGAGAGCTTTTGTACAATCGAACACATATCAGTTTTCAATTCTTTTCCAATCATGTTTGTGTATAATATCACGTGATTGGAAGGGGAGCAGGCATTATTTTTATCTTTCGACAAATTAAGAATCTGAGAGAACTCGGTTAAAAGGTCCCTGCAAAAATCCTATGGTTTTGACAGAACTGTTGGTGAAGAATTAAGAGTATATTGTTTAATTGTACAAAACCAATACACTCATTGCTGAGTTTTTATAAGCTGATTTCAGATTTCCCACACAATTAAGAATCACTCCAATAAACTTGGCTTGTTTTAATGTGCCCTTTCTAGCTCTTTTTGATCTTTTCCCTTCTCTGTCTCATCCTTTTATATGGGGCTGGTGAAGAATGCCTGAATTTGAGTCACAGTTCTTTCATCTACTACTCGTCTTGCTTAATTTCTAAGTGCCTTTGTTCCATCATCTTAGAAGCTTCTGAATGTTGGTGAACCCCAGATAGAGATACAGGGGAAAATAAATGAAATTGAGGATGTCAAGTGTTAGCACAGAGCATGAACACATGGTAAATCCTCAATAAATATGAGCAGCTACGATGATCACACTCTTCCATCAATGTGTGTCAATACAATACTCTTTCCTTACCTAAAGGAGTCACAGAATATCTACATGGAGAATATAAAGTATAGGGAAGTGACATTTAAGAAGGATTCTGACACAAGGCAGGACCCTGGGTGCAGTAGAGAAAAGGGGAGCAGAGTGTAAGTCCTGCTCTCGTCTGTCTCCCCTGTCCCCCTTCCCCTCCCCGACTTGGAGCACTCACATTTAATCTCTGCTGGGAGACTGGCATTTCTATTTGCCCTGAAATAAGAAAAAGGAAAGATTATCTTTGAAATAGTAGAAGAAATGGGGTCAGGGATATTGGATAGTTGAAAGGCAGCATTATCAGGGAGATCAGCTCTGAGGGAAAGCTGAGCCACAGCGAGCACTCTCAGGAGGGGTGTCTCAGGGATTCTCCCCTCGAGGACTCTCAGGAAGGCGGGGACCTGTTTGCCACTATGTCAGGGCTGAGGGGACCCAGCTCTGATACACATGAAATAGAAAGACAGAGTTCAATGTAGATTTTATAGTAACTTACTATTTTTTGTTAAAAAAAGATGGAGAGAGGATGGCAGAGATCCTTCTCTTAGGCTCTTAAATTCTTTCCTAATAAACACTAGTTTGTTTGTCTTCCTCATGCTCTTCATCCTTCTCTGACCTCCCAAACCCCAGCTTTCTTTGTCTTTATTATCTTTAAATGTCCTACTTTATAAATAAGGCTTTTATTCAGCCCCACAACCTTGTTTTCAATGAAAACTTATTATCGGTCACATTTTCAGTGAAGTATAAAACCACCTGTTTGTAAGAAACTTTAAAACTCCTTTTAATGACTCCTTTGTCATTACTTATTTGTTCAAACACTAATTTAAAAAAATAAACAAAACAGTTAATCTAACAAACCCAAAATGTCTTTATTTTCTTCTTTTTTCCATTAGGTGTATTCTCTATCTAGTCTCTCTGTTGTGTAGTCCTTGGTCTTACAAAGTGAAGAGCATCGATCGCAAACGCTAGAGGTTTGGAATACAAATGGATGTGTGAGAATTTTAATGATTTTTCTCTTCTTCCATCCCCACCTTTCCTAAAAAAATGATACATGTCTTTAAAAAATTACTTTCTGCTGTCCAATATGTATCCTCATTCTCGATTTACACACTTGAGGGGAAAACTAAAACTGGTAGTAAATCTGTGTGCTCTGTTGAATTATTGAAAAGGAGGGATTCCAGGAGCTTCATTAACGTAGGTAAAATAATGAGATTTAAAAAAGAGTTGAAACACTACATTATTTTTACTGGTGCTAGAAAACAAAACTAATCACCTGAATTATACTAGAATTGTTCGTCTCTGAGGGTTGAAAGAGGCGAGCAAGAGGGTCTCAGACTACTTCAAGAAGACATCGTGGCAGCGGACGGGTCCTTTCTGGGACGACGGCAGAGATGCTAATAGAAAACAAGACCAGGTGGGTCGGGCATGGGGCAAGAGTGATGGGGGAAAGGGACAATCTAGCAGATCCTGAGGGTCCAGGAAGAAGAGTTGGGCCTGAAACAGAGCAAAATACAGTGCTTCCAGAAGGCCATTCAAGAAGCAATTTGTTCAAAAACAGAATGATTTTTTCCCCATTAGAAAAAAATGTAAATTGAATTAATCCATTCCAGACCCAGAGATGATTCCCTGTTTTAACCTTTCCGAATTGTCTGTGATTGTCCTTTCCTGAGCACATTCACACCCTAGCATCATCAGCACTCCTGATGGCCTTTCTATGTTTGACAGTTGTGCGAATCATTGATTTCTCCATGATGTACTTAGTAGCCAGATCAGACACAAGAGCACCTCTATCATACTTTATGATTATTTTTTTAAGCTCTATTGTTCTCACAACTTTCCTTTTCTCTTTGCTGCTATTACTAATTTTCTTAGGACCGATGGTGGCATACTGTATATATTTAATAGTAATAAACAGCAACAAAAGCAAAACAAAAACAAAACAAAACAAAACAAAAAAACCTACAATTTCCTGAGATGTTAACAACTCAAGGTTTAGTGGTAAACTGACTTATCCTCTCACATTTCTCTCCTTTGTTTGTCGCCTGAGAGAGTATGACTGATCACACAGCTATCAGCAAGAAAGGGTTGTCACGTTGAGAAGTGAAGTTCGGTTCCACACCTCAGACATTTTCCATCAACATCTTGGTTGACAACTGAATTGTTCGAGATGGGAGACATTTGAGGTTTGAGAACCAAGGTTTGACTGTAACATGATTTTTGGGATTGTATAAAATAAATAGGTTTTAATGTCAGCCCTTAAAATATCTTTACCTTCAAACTATAGGTTCCTTCTCCTCTTACTTTTCATCTTCCCTTTCTCCTCCCCTTTCTTGACTTTCTTCTGGTCTTTCTCCTCTTCTTTCTCTAACAATACCTCCTTTTTCTTCTTACCCTCCATGGAGTATCAGAGAGATTAAGTCTCCCTTATTGGTGCATAAAGAGTTTAATCATATTATGGATTTAGAAACATAGATCCTATGAGAAGGGAAGAAAAACTGAGAAATCTGAGCACCAGATCAGCAGAGAACTGTGAAAAGATATGACTGCTGGCCTAGGAGATGCTGTTAGGTGCAGGATGTTTGGCTGGGATTTCCAAGGACCTTTCCTAGACTAAAATCTCATCAGCCATTCGGATGGGCTAGGCTGGTAAGGTCTTCCCTGAACACCTTTGATGAGGTTCCCAAGCCAAGTGTTTTCCTTTCTTTGATATTTCTAATCAAGATAATTGGCAACCTGAGCCATGTAATATTGTCAGGAACTGCTAGTGAGAGAAAGTTCCTATTTTATGTATTTTAACATCAGTAAAGTTCAGTCCACTCCAACCTCCAATAATCAGTCAAAATTATCCTCTTGGCTCTATTTAGTTGAGGCAGCTTCCGTGGGATCCTAAGAGCTAAATCTCTCAACCACAGGTCAGAAGAACAGAGCTATTTCAACTAATATATTCAGCAAATAGTGATAATAACATAAAATGAGTTCTGAAAATATAAAATAAAGGTCTAGGAGGAACCCAAGGTTAATGGAGAAAATCTAATGTCTCCATTAAAATGAATTAAATGACCCACTGTCTACATTCTGTTTTCAGAAGGGAACAACCTATCATCCCCTTTGTGCTCAAGAGTCATAGGGAGTCCACAAGCCCTATTTTATATTTTAACATGTCACCCGTATCCTCAAGTGAGTTCTTATTTATCCCCATTCTGAGCAGTGGGTATGAGGAAGACTCAGAAGCACGCCCCACAACCTGCAGAGTGGGTGTCTGAAGCCAGCAGGAACCGCACTCAACTGCAAGCTGTGAGCACATCATTTGTGGGGATTATGGAGGTAGAGGCTGTGGTTTGGGCCCTTCCCTCCCTCTTTAACCATACAAAGCTGCCAGTAGTGGTTTCCTCACTTCCCTTTTGGAAAGCAGCTCCTTCTGTGGAAATACCGGGTAGGAAGAACCATTGGCTGGAGAAGTGAAAGCATGGTGGGGTCCAGCGGGGAAAGGAAACCCACATGGGTCTGGGTTTCAGACTACCTAAAGCATTGACTCCCTGGAACGGACTTCCAAAAATTACTAGTTAAGAAGAGGTGACTCGAGAATACCACTTCCTGAACGACTCTTTTACATTTTGTTGCAGAGAAGAGACAAAAATGCCAAGACGCACAACTCTGGCAGCCACACCCACATCGAAGGCCACGTGAGTGACTATTCCCTGCCTGTACAGCCCTCCAGAGCATCCAGGGCACAGGCTGGGAGACGGTCAATGGACGAGACAGCCGAACACCCAACCCAGTGTGGGGGAAGAAAAAAATGAATAGGAAGGGGCATCTGAACCTGTGGGCTCTAAGATGGACATCAATGAACATGAACTTTGTAATACAGCATAGGTTGGGGAGAGTTTAATTGTTCCTTGATCAAAGAAAGATCCAGAGATATGCCAGTGGAATTAAGGGAGAAGGGATAGAATAAAGAAGGGAATGAGGATTCTAGAGCACAATCTCTAAAATTAAAGGATCACAATATGGAAATAGCTGGAGATTCAGGATATGAAGCTGTACTTAGTGAGGGTGGCTAAGCCATGAATGCCCTGCACAAATTTTCTTTGGCTTCCTACCTCTAATTCTGGACAATCTGAAGTATATACCTGACTTACAGCAAAGATCTATGTGGTGCTAAGATCTGGAAACAGCCCAAGTGTCCCTCAGTAGATGAATGGATAAAAAAGCTGTGGTACATATACACAATGGAGTACTATGCAGCTGTAAGAAAGAAAGATCTCTTATCCTTTGAGACTGCATGGAGGGACCTGGAAAGTATCATCCTAAGTGAAACAAGCCAAACAGAGAAAGACAAGTTTCATATGCTCTCACTTATTTGTGGAATATAATGAACATAACAGTCTGAGGAATGGGGTAGTCCCAGAGATGTGGAAGTGGGGTACAGACTGACAATCCCCAGAAGAGGGGGTGGTGGGAGAGAGATAAACCACAGAACTCATATGCATGTATGCATGAACAGTGGACATGGACAACAAACTGGGGACAGGGCAGGGAGGGAGGGGGAGGGGGAATCAGTGGGGGGAAAAGGAGAAACATCTGTAACAAAAATTAATTAATTAAAAAAAAAGAAAAAAAGATCTATGCGGTGCATTTGTTCAGTAGAGTGAGAGAAGTAGATAACATCCTCTAAGAGAAGTAATAGCCACTGTTCCAAGCTAGTATTTAGGAACTAGAGATGATCTCTGAGAAACCCTTGACCTAATGCCTAGAACTTGGTAGATGTGAAATAAATTGTGACTATGTTATTAAAAAAAAAAAAAAATTTCCCCAAGTAGTTTCTTTTCCTGTCCATGATAACTTCAGGATAATATAGAGAATGTAATTCTAATGCCTGCACTCAGTGCTATTAGATGCAGATTTCCGAAGTACCATGTCAGCCTTGACCCCTTCTCTCAGTCATACCTGTTCAAGTAAGTGCAGGCAAATTCAAAAGCATGTATACACACCACCATCCAGGAAGCATGAAAACATTCAATAAATGGGGATATAATCATGGCACATAAATTACTTTAAAAGTATAACAATATAAGTGGGTAACTTACTAAAGTTAAAAAAAAACATTATTTTTTTTAAGATTCCAGGAAGCCTAGAAAAGTCTTCCTTAGAGAAAGAAGAGGGCTAAGAGGACCAGGATGAATTCTCCTCTTTAGAAACTCAAGTAAGTTGAAAGGAACATAATTGTATTTGTTTATTGAATACCTCTAGTTAAATTTAAAAAAAATAGACTAAGGTGACCGTGTTGACATGTGTTTTGTTAGAAGGTCAGTGACCCTATTTCCCTCTGTGTTCAGAAGAAACTAATTTTGATTTTAGGAGAAAGAACTATTTTCATTAGAGGTTTTAATTACCTTTCCTAAAACAACCATTTCTCAAAATGACAATGGTAAATAATGACTTAAAAAAAGTCGATAGTGAATATAATCACTAAACTTCAGAGTAATGAGTTTTGATATTAAAATATTTTAGTTTATGTGTATTCCACTTTGTATTTAGCTGTTCGTTTTTCCAGGACAAGCCCTACACCCGCTATCGGAAATCTTATCTGGTCCATGTTTCTGAAGTGCAGTTGTTAATCTCTACTCAGCACTCAGGCAACTGTAGTACACAGCACACAAAAGTATCACAGCAGACGTTCTGGATGAGGACAAGCCTTGGCATTAATCACTGTAAGACCGCAACGTTCTCAATTACTTCCTACCTAGTGCAGGCAGGACAATAGTAGGAAGGGCATGGTGTGAAGGGTGGGGGAGGGAAGGTAGGATCAGGATGCTGCCAATGTGTCTGGTATATACATATGAGTATTTAACTCCCCTGACAATTCCAAGTTTTCTAAACTGTCCATTGGTAGCTGACAACCTGGAAAATGTGGTGCAATGTTACTGTAGATAAGTAAGGCTCGGTAAATGAGACTATGAACACAGGGTAGTATCGACTGATATCAAAATCTCAGAAATACTTCTCTTTACCTCTCACTCAAAGCAACCAGCCCTGTATATCTCCTCTTTTCTGCTTGTTGACTGACAGCAATGTTTAGGTTCTGTCCCTATACTCAACTATAAATCATTTCCCCGAGACCACGTGTGTTTTCCTTTGGAGGTGTCCTTTCTTCTGAGGTCTCCTCACTTTCCCCCCAGTGCATGCCTTTGAATCTTCAATACACTCTGTCTTGTTGTAAGTCCACAAATCTGCTTTCCAGAGATTCGTGTTTGAATTCTCCCCAAAACCATAAGGTTTCAGAGAGCAAACCCAGAACTGCGCAGACAGCTTACCATAAACAGAGTCCAAGTCTCCAACAGCAAAAACAGCCACGGTGCGTCCTGAGCATCCTGCACTGCATCTCCTGAGCCAGCCCTGAAGGCAGAAGAGCGCTGCCCCGCAGAGCAGAACCGCCAGGACAATGAGCAGCAAGAACCTGATGCCAGAAGAAGCAGGACAGGAGTGAAGGGGAGCGTGCAGGGAACTTCAGAGCTCCTATCACTTCCTGAAAGGGGGCAAGAACTCACAAGACTGGCTGCAAGCAGTCTGACAGGCTGAGTTCCTTAAGCAGCCCCCACAGCACCACTGGCACATTTTCACTGAACCCGGAATGAATGCTGAGCTCAGCGTGGGTTGATCTTGCCAGGTGATCATAACTGTTTTCTCTTTGGAAATTGGAAGGTGGTTCTAAGGAGCAGGGGTCTTGGTCCTTTAATCCATTTAGCCATTATTCCTTTCATGCAGCCATAAATCCATTCATTCCACCAGGATTTAAACAACAGAACAGATTTTAGGTGTTGGGGTTGGGGATTCAAAGGTTGACAAGATAAGACACAGTCTCTGTCTTTGAGGAGCTATCTAAATGAGAAAATTGGTAATGTGTAGTATGGAAAATATGGAAGTCAGCATTTAGGATGTTATAATAACTCAAAATTTCTAAAAGACTAGCTCTTAAAAGAGGCAGTAGTCTTATTTTGAATGGTTTTTAAGGCCAGAACTAAAATCAGTGAAAGAGGCATTTCAAAAGATATCAAGAAAAGGAACAATAATCTAACCTTTAAAGATATTCAACTAGGGAGTAAACTATTATTATTCCTAAAAATAGTTACTTCCCCGTTGTAGAAAGTACTTAAGTAAATGCTCACAACAACTTGAAAGTGATATTTCTATATATATTGATTCACATGGCCTCTATTATTTGCTTACTAGGTATGACTTTGTGGGTCATATCAGTTATTTAGAAAAAGGAGTATGTATATACCATCAAAGGTTTTTATAAACAAAATGAAGATGTCCTTACCAGATATACCAGTCACTTGGGTATTGATTTTTATAGTTTATGCACCTGGTAATAAAGAAAGACCATTAGTGTTGGACCTCTAAATGGCCAAACCTATTCCTTTGGACCATAATATTTGTTCTGACTACACCGGTTTCCCCAACAATCATTTACTCACTTCAAGGCCCCAAACACGATTAAGCAAATGTTTCCCATATACCTACTTCATGCAAAGCCCGAGGATACGTATAAATGGACGCTGTCAGATTCTTAAACAGATAATTGTGTAGTAGTAGGTTTGATGCATTGAGAATACAGTGACTAACTCTTCAGGACTAACACGTCATAGGTATTAGAAGATAACCATTTCACAATTCTGTTGATTCAGAGACCTAGAGTTCTTTAAAATGCAAATTCTCTGGGGAAGGTTATAGTATCTATTAACCTTTGATATTTTGGTAAGCAATAGCAGCCCTGCAATCCTGGTTGGAAAAAAAATTAGGGTAAAAGGAAAATGAATGAGTGTCGCCATACATACCATTTACCAAGGAGTTAGATAGAAGTTCATTTGTTTAGTCAGAATGGTCAAACCATTTGTGTGCCTCAGCACAACTTAATTGTTCCTAAGATAAGTTTTAAAAGATCACACAGAAACAAAGTTCACAGTATGATTTTTAAGAGATTTAACTTCCCAGGTTTAAACACGTGTGCTATTCATTCCAGAGTCCCTCGCTTTGTCAGACATGGTGCTTTGAATGTATGTTTGCTGATGGACTTATTTCATAGCTTGGTAGATGGGCTGCTGTTAAAGTGTTCTGGGATTAAATCGTGGAAAGCTGTTCATCACAGCCTGATAAGCTCCTGCGATGGAGCTGCACTTAATCATGTCTTCTCCAGCCATTGTTAAAATAACACTTGGCACTTTTCAGCTTGAAAGCATTCAAAAATGTCAGCTACTTTATGGCTCCCAGCATAAAGTGTGTCCTGTTCATCACTCTTCTCTTCAGAAGTGACTTTTTAACATATGTGAGTGTCAACTTAAAAATTTTACAAAACTCAGTCATGCAGACAACACGTTTTTTTTGGGTGTTTGTTTGTTTTTACACTTAGAGGGTTTAGCCAAATGCACGGGCACAGATGGCTGGGGAAAAATGAGGACTGAAGTATGACTTTGAAAAGCATACTAAGATAAGTGATAATCAATAAGGAATTTTAAAAATAATTAGTAGGCCCTGGCCGGTTTGGCTCAGCAGTTAAAGCATCGGTCTGTGGTCCAGAGAAACCCAGGTTCGGTTCCCACTAAGGGCACGATGTACCTTGGTTGCAGTTTGTCCCCGGCCCTGGTTGGGTCGTGAGGGAGGTAGCCACTCAATGTGTCCCTTTCACGTCGGTGTTTATCTCTCTCCCTCCCACTCTATCTGAACAAAAAATGGAAATGTCCTCGGGTGAGTATAAAAGAAAAAGAAAATAATAATTAGTGGCACGTCCTTTTAAAGGAATATTATCTATTCATAAAAAGTATAGATTTATTTATTTATTTTTTTGGTATGTGCCCCTAGTGGAAACTGAACCCGGGACTCTCTGGTCTGCAGGCCGATGCTCCAACTGCTGAGCCAAACCGGCCAAGGTGTAGATTTATTTTTATATGAAAGCCTTGATAAGTATAACAATATAGAGCATTAATTTCTACTCGGTGTATATTTTCTTTTATACAAATACAATGATTCCACTAAATAAGTATTATATAGTTTTATTTATATATATAATTATTTAAAATATTTGCTTTTCTTGAAGATGGTGTTATGAGGCACTTGATCTTTTCAATATTTCTATATTGTTTATAGTTTTGAAATGTACACATATCACTTTCATAGTGATAAAAATTTTAAATATATTAAAAACATAAAACCTTAAAAATGTAGTATCCCACTTTAGAGATGGATGTAGGGAACTTCTTGATGACTTAACCAAGGTTCTTGTTTTTGAGTCTTAAAATCTGAGCTCATGACCAGGAGTGTGGATTGTTTCATTTCCCTCCATATATAAATCTCTACTTCTCTTCTTTACATTTAAAAATAGACCATAGACTTATTATGAGGTCAGTTCTAAATTTAACTACTTGTTTTGTTTTCTAGCTTTAATTTTTGAGCCACTCAATATATTTTTACAGTGCTAACAATCATGCAAACTCTCGTACTTCATTTTCTCTTTCTGACCCTGTGCACCTAGCGGCGGATTTTCTGATATGCAACAAAATGGTCAAGAAGTAGTTAACTTGAGGGATTAAGCAAAGACAAAAACAGAAAGACTTATGGACACAGACAATAGTACAGTGATTGCCAAAGGGTTGGGGGTTGATGCTGAGAGGGAGGATAAATGGTGATGGAAGGAGACCTGACTTGGGGTGATGAACAAGCAATACAATATACAGATGATCTATATAGAATTGTATGCCTGAAACCTGTATGACTTTTTTTAACAAATGTCATCTCAATAAATTAAGAAAAGAAAGTAGTTAGCTGGAGAAATGCAAAATGATCATGTAGTTTAGGAATTGCAGGCACCTTTGAGATCATTTATTTTCCCCTTAGGATTTTACACACTCTACCACTGAGACCCAGAGTTGGGAAGTAAGTGGGGAGGTTACCAGCTGCCCAGAGAACTTAAATTAAAATATGAGTCTTCTAACCCTGTGTATTTTCCTCCCCACCATTATTTCCATGTCTTTAAGTTCAATTTTCAAACAGAAATTCCTCACGTATGTGGGTGTATCTGCATGTGGGCGGACAGGTCTGGAGACAGAGGAGGGGTGTTTGGTTCCTAAGACCATTGGAAATATGTGTTTTCCGATGGTCTTAGGCGACCCCTGTGAAAGGGCCGTTGAACCCCAAGTTGAGAACGCTGACTTAGAGATTTGGATATGCTTGGTGAAATGGGGAAATGATGCCAAAAAGGGGGGGGGGGATCCAGGAATAGGATGAATTGAGCATATGTTCCAGGCAGACAGTTCCAGTATCAGTTCCACTACCTCTCTAGTAGTTTCTGTTGAAGGAGGTCATTTTTATCCCTACCGGAATGACTACTGACCTATTTTACTTGGATGCTGTGAAGATGATTTCTGTTCTGCAGGGGTGGTTAGAGCAGTTCATCTTTATTACTCTTCTCAGTGCTGAGGCTCTGCGGACCCAAGGTGAACTATAAACTCATTACTTTGATCAATTTAAGAACATATCCTAGTCATTAAGTGGTACGTGACTATGAAGGGAACCAAATTTTGCCTTTTGGGATACTGATTTTAAGCTACTTATTAGGAAACAAAAGACTCAGAAAGAACCTTTTACCCTCCGTCTTCCTGTCTAAGAGATTCAGATGGAAAGGCCTAGTCAAGGAAGGGGATGTAGAATGTTAGCCTTAGTTTAATTTAAATTAAGTAAGACAAATAGGAGGCTTCAGTCAAAGGCCAGTTAGCTGGATACTCTGTGTCCCCTTGTCTCTGAGGAGCCTAGCAAATGTTTCCCTGCCTTGTATGTCCCACTCTTCCTCAATTACCTGTGAGTGGTCCGGTCTCATTTTTGAAATCTAAGATCCAGTCCCCTTCTTTCTCCTTTCTCCAAAATGACATATATACCCAATTTTGCCCCACTGTATTTGGAACTTTTATGCTTATGTGAATTCCCCATAGAAATGCATTAAAATTTTGTTTTTTTCCCCTGTTAATCTCGCTCTCTTAATTTAATTACTATCCCGACTAGAAAATCTTAGAAGGTGGGAAGAAAAGTATCATATATATTTTTAGTCCCCACAGCTGTATATCAAAAGCACTTTGAAGTGTACACAATACAGGTGAGAACTTTCATTAGTTTTCTTATATTTGAAACTGATTTCTTCCATCATTGATGGAAGCTACCTTCCATCATTGATGAGGTTTATGGGTGTGGATGCAGCCATAGATGATGTAATAATGCATGAATGTAAAGAACCCTTGAAACTTCAATGGTGGAGATAGCTGTGAGCAAAAATACCTACAAATCAACTAGGCCCCTTATTTATTTAACAAAGCTGATCATAATAAAAGTGCATTTATTTTCTGCTTTTAGAAGAATTTAGCCACTTGCATTTAAAACAATTTTCTTTTTCTTGCATGGTTATACTGGTCATTTGAAACTCATTTGGGGTTTCTTAAATGACTTGAGCCTTTTTTTTTTATTCTTTGAATTTTGAAAACGCCTCTTGCTATTTACTTACATTTCAGTGTCTTCACACGGTGGGTCTGAGAGCACCAACTGAAACACATGTTTAGAACAATAAAATCCAAACATCTCATCAGTCTAATCCTTTAATACAATAACACCTAGAAGCAACGTGGGTTTATATAATTTTGTTTGTGTTTTTTAAGTAAAGCCTCATAGAAGACTATTGTTGGGTGCACAGAATTTTAATTGAAAAAAACAAACAAAACAATCTCTGTGTAGATTTTCCAGCTCAGCAGTGACAGGAGATATATATTGTAAGCCAGATTCTTATCCTACATACCATTATAGATGGATGTAAAAATGCTTTTTGTTTTTTCTATGGGCAGATTTTGCTTCCTGTAAGGAGCTTTTGTGCACCTTGCGTTTCTTCTTTGCTTTTATATTTTAGCTAGAGGAAGGAGGTTAATTAGTTGTATTATTTTCACACAAAGAAAACAAGTTCTCCACATGAAAACGGAAGTCCATTCCATTAGCATTCATGGGTATTAAATATATGTGTGAAGGAATGACTTTAACCGGCTCTAAGGTTAAGGTCTATTTAAGAGCACATGGCATTCCTGTTGAGATTTACATTTCTCTCTTTGTCAAAGAAGAGGGAAAAAGCAATCATTCTGATGGCTTTGCTTTGAAAGACCCAAACCATAAGCAATCAACACAATTATCTTAGTTCTGGGTGCTGAGCCTCACAGGTTACAATAATTCACATCACAGAGGAAAGAAAGTCCTCTTTTCTAGAGGTTTGTTTGTTTATCCTTTGACATGAGACTCCTTCTGTGTACAATAAGAAAATCTTTAAATGTCATTTATATATAGTCCTAACTACGGGTTGGTGAAGTTAGTGGAGTATATACTTTCCTGGTCTATAACACAGAAATATAAAGCCAAGTAATTAGTTACAAAATTTTAAATGATACACGTGGGGATTTTGTGAGATATGCCATTTTTTTCTCCTTAATCTCAAACACAAACACATCTTTATCCACACGTTATATTTACTCCACCATCTTTATCTGGTCGAAGACATTTGTGGAGTTGCAGATGGAGGCCATGCACTGGCCGTCAGAGAGCATGGTAATGAACAATTCATAAGCACAGCACATGAGTTGCACTCTCTTCTGCTAGAAGGCTGCAAATAGATTTGGATACTAACTGAGAGGAAAATGAACATTCAAATTTTGTCCATAAAGAGAGTTTATGTATAAATAATGCATAGATGAAATCATTTGGGATCCAGTTGAACAGATAAACAAATCAAGCCAACATTTCACTTTCCAGTCATTTTCTAATCTTCTGGTGAGCTCTCTCCTAGCAAGGAGTGAGTACTCAGTATTACGTATTAACACCTCGCTGCCAGTTCAGTGGTCAGACTTCCTGTTATCAGGAAATGGGGAGCGAAGTCTATATAATTCAGACCTACATCTTTCCGATACATTGCATTCAAGTAACACAGATACAGAGTTGTAGGTATTAGTCTAAGTGAGATGTTAGAGCAGAGGAAACAAAATAAACTCTAACATGATTCTGTCTACATTGTTCAGCAATGGAAAACTACCACCATCCAGTGTGGCTGCAGGCAAGAGTAAGCAAACATGTCTTAAATTAACCCTGTCATAGCATTTTGCTGTGTCAATGGCATTTTTTTTTTATTAATAAAAAATTTACAGCATAGCAAAGTTAAGCAAAAATTACATTGCATCATATTACTTCAATAGCAACAGAACTAAATAAAGAAGAAATAAGACTAATCTCATGGACCATTTTGCTTTCTATGTCTTTGACCAATACATATAAGTAGTCGTAAGATTCTGGTAGCACTTCCTTAAAGGAAATCTTTAAAATGTATGGGTGAAGTTACCCAAAGAACAAATCAAAAACCAATCAGGTCCTTAGAGTACCTCCGAAAATCTTTTCCGGAAAGAGAGATGGTTACCTGGAATAGTGGCAAACACAAGGTTCCTGTTTTGGAGATCACTGAAGTGAAACTAAAAGATCTGGATCTTGACATACTTAAAGAACAAGCTGCTCAAAGATAGTGGTTTGCTGTCTGTGTTTATTTCCCTCTTTCTCAGAACTTGTTAGCTTCTCTATAAATTATGCTTCCTCCCAGAGCACTCATTAATGATGGCTCCTTGTGACTGGTAAAGAGCATGCTGGGGGCAGGAATGTTGGGTGCATGCTCACAGGTACTGGGAGTTCAAGGAATTTCAGGTTAAGGTCAGAACCTTGATACTGTTTGTCAAGCCCTTAAAAGCAAAGGTTATACATGCTGATCTGCAACACTAACTGGCTGCTTAAGTAACTGACGATATTCAAGCGCATGTTTTATTCCAGGGTATTTCTGGGTTTATATAGAACCTCTTTTGTACTTGGAACATTTGTTTGTTTTGTTTTGTTTTCCCTTTGTTGGTCCTTTTTGCTCTTTTTTTCCTACACATCATTTTCAGGCCCAGATCTAACCTAACCTTGGGCATAAAGCTTTTCCTGCTTCACTATGATCACACCCTACTTTTAAACAGGTTCTATTTCAGTGTTTGTTTTAATAAAACAAGTCCAACAGAGCTGCCAACAAAAATGTTTGCCAAAATCCTTAGGGAAATTCTGAAAAAGAGCAATGGAGAGACAAAGAAATTTACAAAAGTTGGTACGGATGCACATAAACAACAAGATAAATGTGCCAGAATAAAGCTCAGAAGTAAATGAAAATAAACAGAGATTCATTTTTTGCTGCCATTTCCCACCAGAGCAGAATAGATGTTATTTAGGGAACGATGAACAACTGAGTGGTTAGACAGGGAGAATGTTAAAATGCCTAACCTCATTCATAATTGGAGGAATATAACTTACAATTATAATTCCATTGGCAAGTTTAAAAAATTGATAATATGGTGAGAGGAGGTAGATATGGGGAGACAAGCCTTCCAATACATGGTTGGGAAAACTCTATAGCTTCACTGGAAGGCAATTAGGCACCTGAATATACCCTGTGGCCACGAATACTCCTTTCAGGAACGTACCTTACATATATTACTACATGTGGCACAAATAATTATAAGCAATGATGTTCACTGAAGCATTATCGGTAATAACAAAATATTGGAAACAGTCTCCATCAAAATGTAACTGGTTAAATACAAAATGATGATATTCACTCAGCAGACTACTAGGCAGCTGTTTAAAAAGGTGACGGAACATTACAGATGCTGTTGTGAAAAGGCTTCCATGAGTTATTAATTAAAAGAAATAAACAGAAGAACATTGTGTTCTATAATCATGCTACCTTTTATGCAATAAATAAATATAGCTATCGTGTTTTTCACCTTATAAAACTTATACATATATATTCATATGCATAGAATGTCTCTGCTTGAAACTATTAACAGTAACTGTTTTGGTAAAAGGAAGAATCTGAGGAAATTATATTAAAAGGGATGAACAATGGACATGGACAACAAAGCCGGGGACAGGGTGGGGGGAGGGGGGAATCAGTGCGGGGGGGGGGGGGGAGAAACATCTGTAACAAAAATAAATAAATAAATTTAAAAAATTAATAAAATCGCCCTGGCCGGTTTGGCTCAGCGGTTGGAGCGTCGGCCTGCGGTACAGAGAGACCCGGGTTCGGTTCCCGCTAAGGGCACGTACTTTGGTTGCAGTTTGTCCCCGGCCCTGGTTGGTCGTGCGGGTGGCAGCCACTCGATGTGTCCCTTTCACATCATTGTTTCTCTCTCTCTCTCTCCCTTCCTCTCTCTCCCTCCCACTCTATCTGAACAAAAAATGGAAAAATATCCTCGGTTGAGGATAAAAAAAAAAAAATTAATAAAATCAATAAAGAAAAAATTTTTTAAAAAAGGAAATGTACTTTCTCTGTTAGTTTCTTGTATGTTTGATTTTTAAAAAATTCTCTATATGTCATTTACTCATTTTATACATACATTTCTATGGGCCAGTTCGGAAGCCAGTCATCTAGAATTCAGAACAAGCATGTTGTAGTTCAAGCCCCATAGAGATCAGAATCCAGTTCAGGTGATAATCTATGAATGTATTTATGACCACATACATAGATTGCACTAGAAACAAACCAGCCGTGTTAGTCATCTGAACTACCACCCTGAATTGGCCATTAAGGGATATGGGTTAGTTGAGCTGCATCTGGAGGGCTAGGCAGGCTGTTGTGGCCCCGGTCTGCTTAGTATGCAGCCACAGACACAGCCATGAATTTCAAAGCGCAGGAAGGGCTTGGTGCCAATGCCAATAGCAGATAAGTAAACCAAGCCTACAATATTATTTGTCCCTAGGATACCCTTCATTCTGAGTGTCTCTGAGGCCTGCAATGAAATAGAATGAAAAATAGGATTTTTCACCCATGAACTTATTTATTAGGCGGTTGGTCAGAAGCCTGACATCAGTCAGTGGGCTCAATGATCTTACGAATTCCTAGGGAAGAAAGGGAAGGTCAGATGACTAAAAAAATAGTGAAATGGAAACAAGGGCAGCATGTTTAGTTTAGCTTTAAAAACTGGAACTATGACCAACAAGATACATGGATTAATTCTTATGGAAAAAAAAAAAGGTCCCATGGCAGATGGCTGAGGGAGTATGGCAGTCTATAGTCACAGTAATCCTGCAAACAACACTACTATGTTTGGTACTAAATAGATATGTGTGTGTATATATATATACACATACACACACACACACACACACACACACACACATATGTATGTATACACACACACACATCTCCATGAATGTCTTTTTATCTGCAAATTTTTTAAGCATTTTATTTTGAGATAATTTAGATTCACATGCAGTTTTGAGAAATAATACAGAGGTGTCATATATTCTTCATCTAGCTTTCTCCAATGGTAACGTCTTGCCTAATTAATGTACAATATGACAACCAGAAATTTGTCAGTGATACAATCCGCTGCTTGCATGATTTTTGTAATTTAGGTTTTATCATTTAAAATTTGTGATTAATCCACATAACCCAATGGATGCTTATGTGTGTGAACTTATGATAGTGAGTTACCATCACTGGGATGTCAACCAGAATGTGGATAATGGCTATTCATAATACTGTGACCTCGTTGCTAATAGGACATGGATCCCTGATGTTTGAATATAAGGGTAGAAGAAAGCAAAACTCTTAGAAAGAATCAAGAAGGAGAAGAAAGAGGACCTATACTGTGATGATATATAAGGTTAAAATCACAAGATTTATTGGGTACCTGGATGTTGGAACCTGTAATCCTCACCTTTGCAATAAAAGCATGGTAGATGTATGTTTAATGGTGCAGTGCTGGTCATTTACCCGGTGGTTCTCCTGTGCTAGGAGGAAGTAAATCCTGTAGGAAAGGATGGAGATGAGGGGATATAAAAACTATTCTCTGGATTCAGAACCTAGCAGAAGTCTAAATTCCCTGAAGCTCTAAAGTCATATTAATATTTGTCCTTAAAGGTCATGGTGTGCAGCTGTTCAAAAAAACCCAAGGACCAAAATTCAAGGGATTTAGTAAGAATAAATAGAAGGTAGGAAAAGAAGTGAGCAATGCATAAATGTCCAAAGAACAAGAAAGGAAGCATCAGCCACTCTTTTTATGGAAATTAGAGGAGCAGGGTGAGGTCTGGGCTGAATGTATCTTCTCTAAAAACTGGTATGTCCTACAAAACAATGATAATGACTAACTTATCCCTCACACATAATTTTTGTAAAACATCGACTTGAAAATACCAACGTGAAGTCAGACAAGGCGCAGATATAAGGAACTGATTACCGTAGCATGATAAAACAAAATAAAGAATTCCAAAATCAGTTTAGTTAATGAAAACTATGAGAGCCAGGGTTATGTAAGGAGGACTTTAAGTGACGCAGCTTGTCTGGTTGTCCAGTTTCATCATGTGCTTCTTCTTCCCAGTGAGAAGAAATATTGATTACATTGCTAAACCAATGGTCAATTTTCAGCCTTCATCTTACTTAACCTAACTGGCAGCATTTGACATAGTTACTCACTTCTTCCTCCTTTAAATACTTTTTTTACTTGGCTTCTAGAACAATATATGTGCTGATTTCGCTCCCACCTTATTGACTGCTTCTCATCCATTTCCCCTCATCATCTTAGACTTAACATCTTAGGGGTGACTTAAAGCTGAGCTGAGACTTCCTTCTTTTCTATCTACATTCATACTTTCGGGAATCTTCGTCTCATAAACTGTCATTCATAAACTGACAACTCCAAAATGCACATGTCTACTTCAGATCTCTTTCCTGAATGTGTTTAACTAACTGCCAGCTCTGTATCACCATTTGGATGTCTACTAGACCTCTGCAAAAAAACTGGCCCTAAATCTAGCGTCCATTTTCCTATCTTCCCTCTAACTGTTTATCTCTACAGATCTTTCCTATATAAGTAAATCTTTCTTTTGGTGTTTAGGCCAAAAAGACTTATACACATTTTTGAGCTCTCTCTTTCATATACCATCTGCAATCAACCAGAAAATTCTGTAGTCTCCGCTTTCAAGATATATACAATGCTCCCGCCACTTTTTATTACCTTCACCAGGAACCTTTCACCTGATTTACTCACCAATCACCATCATCCGTAACCTGAATTATTTCAATAGCTTCCTACCCAGTCTTTCTGTTTTTACACTTGCCTGCTCACAATCTATCCTTAACATATCAATCACAGTGATGTTCTTCTCTATCAGTTAGATCCTGTCACTCCTCTGCACAAAACTCGAGTGGTTTCATATTTCCCTCAAAGTGAACGAAGGAAGTCCTTGCACTGGCTTACAAAACCTCACAAGTTCTGTCCTCTCTTTCCTTTCTGGTCTCATATTCTACTGGTCTCCTCTTGAGTTAATCTGTTCCAGGTACACGGGCCTCTTTGCTTTTCCTAGAAATTCCCAGGTGTTCTCCTGCTTCAGGGCCTTTGCACATGCTCTTCCCTCCATCTGCAAGGCACCTCCCCATTTGTCCACCTGGCTTACTCCCTCACCTTGAGC